CCGTGGGCTCAGGCAATCCACTCACCTCAGCCTCCCAAAGGCGCGGGGTTACAGGCTGAGCCACCAAGCCTGGTTTGTTCTAATTTTTTAAGAACTTAAATCACAGAGTCTAATTAAACAGATACTTTCAGATATAATAACAACTTGTTTAAATAATACAGAAGAAAGAGATTGGAAAAACTGTTTGGAATAGAACATAGAATAGGGAATGGAAAATCAACTTAGAGTGATTTATTTTGAGATGATAAAAGTCTCTATATAACACAAAGCATATTCACTTTTAGCTCTTATATCTGAGCATTACATGATTTATCCTGATTTAGTTCATGTCATTATCGCTTATTTCACCATATAAAGCAATTTGTTAACTCTAATAATTATATGTCAACAATTCTTCATTTTAAATTAACAGATTTGGTTAACAGTCCCCATGAAAAGACTGTTTCAGAGAACTTCCGGCAAGATGATGACGGGAAACACTGGACTGAGAGAGTCGCTGTGAAAGTGAGTGTTCATAAAGACTCTTGCTTTCCTCCTGCCGTAAACAGCCTGCTCTTCCATCAGCCATGCAAACCTGTGGCCTGGAGGAATTCGATCCCATGCACTGCTCAGCTGCTGCTGTGCAGTGGGCCACATCCCACCCCCGCCCACCCGGGCGGCCCTTGGCTCCTGGCCCATGGAGCTCCAGGCACCATCCTTGACTGCACCACTCCCCTGGCCCTGTGCCACCCTGAGACAGGCCGACACGCAGGTCCCGACTGTCTCACACTCCACCTCTCCCAGCTGGGCCCCTGGCCACTGGGACCAGAGATCAGTTGGAGCCCTGAGACCAGGCAGAGACCTGCATTGCCCCCACGCAGCTCCACCCAGCCTCCAAATTGGGACATAAGGTGGCTGCTGCTCCCACTACTGCCAGCCTGCTCTTCACCCAGCAAAGCAAGCCGCCTGCAGGCAGGAAGACACTGGCCCCATGCGACTGGTCTGCCACCACCGCCGCCACTACCGCCGCCACCACCCTCACTGAGGGCGGCTCTTGGCTCCTGTCCCTGAAGCTTCGAGCTCCCTCTCCAGCTGTACCACCTGCCCAGGCAGACCTGCAGTGCCTGGCTGTCTTACACTCCACCTCCCCCCAGCTCCCCACCCCCAGCCAAGTGCCCAGAGATCAGCTGGAGCCCCAAGACCAGGCAGAGACCTGCACTGCCCCACCCAGCTCCGCTCAGCTCTGCCCAGCCTCCAACTTGGGACCTAAGACTTCATGTTTGTGTAGGGGAATAGTACATCAGTAAGGAGGTGGGTTGGTTGTACGTTTTTAGTTTCTTTTATCTTTTCTGTGTGTGTTTCTCTTTTCATTTGTTAGTCGGTACATTTATCTGCTTTCCCTCTTACTCTTCTCTCTCTCTACTTTCCTTTTCCCCTCCTCCTTCCCTATTCCATTCTTTTCCTTTTTCTTACCTCATTCTGCTTTCAGGGAACAAACCTATACTCCCCACTGCATGGACAGATTGTAAGGCAGTGGGAAGCAGGTACCAGGGTATCCATACACCTGTCAGTAGATACTGGGATCTGCAGATAGATTTTGAATCACAGCTCCCCCGTCAATTGAATCTTAAAACTGCAAAAAAGTATACCCCCCAACCCACAGTCCAGCTTCAGAATTGAGCAAAGTTAGAAAATTCACATAAGGAAGAATAGGAGATTGAGCAAACAGAAGTGAAAGCAACTTCACCATCCCTGAGCAACAGAATTAAAGAAGGGAGGGAAAGGAAAAAGTGGGGAGGAAAATCTACACAAAAGAAGAAAAACCAAAAGAAGAATACAGTTCTCACACAGACCCCTGGGAGGTCAGTCACTGAGAAAAAAGACTTTGGAATGCAAACAATGAAGAGCCCCCAGAATGACTGGTCATATACTACAAACCCAGACATCAAGACATTAATAGAGAGAATTTAAAGAATTGAGGAGAAGACAAGAGGAAAATAGGAAGGAATTGATAACTGAGATAACAGCAGTAAAGCATACTGTGATTGAAATAAATAGCAAGCTAATAAACATGGAAAGCAGAATTAACCAAGCAGAAGAAAGAATCTCAGCGTTTGAGGACCAAAATATAGAACTAACCCAAACTGTCAAAAATAGAAAAGAAGCTTTAAAAGACAGAACAAAACCTTCAAGAGATGAGTGAATACTTCAAGAGACCAAATCTATGAGTAATTGGACTTCCTGTGGCAGAAAGAGAGACAGAGAACACCCTGGAACAAACATTCCATGAAATTATTCAAGAAAACTTCCCTCATCTCATCAGTGATGTAAAAATTCAAACACAAGAGGTTCAGAGAACCCCTCCAAGTCAACAAATGAGAAGACAAACTCCCAGACACATAATAATTTGCCTAAACAAAGTACAAAAGAAAAAATCCTAAAGGCAGCAAGAGAAAAAGTCAGATTACCTATCAGGGAAGACCAATTAAAATAGCAGCAGATTTATCTATAGAAACACTTCAAGCTAGGAGAGCTTGGAGCCCAATCTTCAAAATTCTCAAAGATAAATAATTTCAACCAAGAATAAGCTACCCAGTTAAGCTAAGCTTTATCAGCGAGGGAGAATTAAAATCTTTCCCAGACATCCAATCCCTAAGAACTTAAGCTGTCTCCAGACCACCTCTACAAGAAACACTTAAACACAGAAGAAAAGGAAAAAAGAATGACAACTGTCTTCACAAGAGTACAGGGAAAAGACTGAAAACACACATGAACCATCTCAAAAATCAAAGGAAAGATAACAAACAAACAGGAACAACAACTCAATAAGAACCTCATGACAGGGATAAACTCTCACATTTCAATAATTAGCCTGCATGTGAATGGACTAAATGCACCACTGAAAAGGCACAGAATGGTAAAATGGATAAAATAACATGAGGTGACAATATATTGTCTCCAAGAGACTCATCTCACCGGAAGGGACACTCACAGACTCAAAGTAAGAGGATGGGAAGCAAAATTTCAGGCAAATGAAACACAAAAGAAAGGAAGAGTTGCAATCTTAATTTCAGACAAAATACCCTTTAACCTATCAAAAATTTTAAAAGATACAGAAGGTCACTACATAGTGATAAAAGGTTCAATCCATCAACAAGAAATATCCATCCTAAACATATATGCACCCAACATAGGAGCACCAACTTTCATAAAGCAGCTTCTAGGCAAACTTAAAAAAGATATTGACTCTAACACAATCATAGTTGAAGACTTCAATACCCCACTCACAACCCTAGATAGATCATCAGATTAAAAAATCAGCAAGGAGATCAGGAACCTCAATATGACTCTTGACCAAATGGACTTAATTGATACCTACAGAAAACTCCATCCAATGAGCATAGAATATACATTCTATTCTTCACTGCATGGAATGTACTCTAAGATTGACCACATCATTGGCCGTAAATCAACATAAATAAATTTCAAAAGATTGAAATTTTGCCATGTACCTTCTCTGACCACAGTGGAATAAAAATAAATATCAGCACCAACAAGCTCCCCCCAAAACCCACAAGACGTGGACACTAAACAGCATGATGCCAAGCAACTCCTGGGTCAACACAGAAATCAAAACAGAGATTAAAAGATACCTGGAAACAAATGAAAATGAAGAAAATCTTACCAAAATCTCTGGGATACCATGAAGTGATAGTAAGAGGGGAATTCATATCTCTACAAACACACATGAAGAAAATGGAAAGTTCACAAGTTAACAGCCTAACAAGTCACCTAAGGAAGCTGGAAAAGCAAGATCATCCAAATCCTAATTTCAGCAGAAGAATCCAGATCACCAAAATAAAAGCCCAAATTCGGGACATAGAAGAAAGAAAATAAAACAAATGAACAAAAAAATCAACAAAACAAAGGCTGGTTTTTTGAAAGGATAAACAAGACTGATGCTCCTCTAGTTAGACTGACCAAAAAAAAAAGAGAGAAAAAACCCAAATAAACACAGTCAGAAACACAAAAGATGAAGTCATATCTGACCCTGAAGAAATACAAAAGATTATCAGAGACTACTATGTACACTTATATGGAAACAAACTTGAAAACCTAGAGGAAATGGAGGACTTTCTGACATCACACAACTTCCCTAGGCTGAAACAAGAAAAAATTGAGACCCTAAATAGACTAATAACAATCCAGGAAATAGACTATGTCATAAGAAAATACCTTAAAAAAAAGCTCTAGACCAGAAGGCTTTCCAGAAGAATTCTACAAAACATACAAGGAGGCCAGGCTCGGTGGCTCAGCCTGTAATCCCGCGCCTTTGGGAGGCTGAGGTGAGTGGATTGCCTGAGCCCACGGGTTCGAGACCCTCCCGGGCAACATGGTGAGATCTCATCTCTACAATAAATTGAAAAATTAGCCGGGTATGGTAGCGCGCACCTGTAGTTCCAGCTACTTGGAAGGCTGAGGCGGAAGGATCGCCGAAGCCCAGCAGGTCGAGGCTGCGGTGGCCGGGAGCAGCCATTGTGCTCCAGTCTGGGTGACAGAGCGAGACTCAAACTCAAACAAACAAACAAACAAAAAACATACAAGGAGGAACTTACAGCAATCCTGTTGAAAATATTCCAGGTGACTAAGAAAATGATGACACAAACAAGTGGAAAAATATTCCATGCTCATGGATTGGAAGGATCAATATTTTTAAAACATCCATTCTACCTAAGGCAATCTACAGATTTAATGTAATACCCATCAAATTACCAGTAACATTCTTCTCAGACCTAGAAACAACAATACAGGAAGGAATTCATATGGAAATAAGAATAGCCAGAACAATCTTCAGCAAAAAAAAAAAAAAAGCAGGAGGTATCACACTCCCAGACTTTAAACTTTATTATAAAGCTACAATAATCAAAACAGCCCGGTATTGGTACAAGAACAGGCATATAGACCAATGGAATAGAACTGAGATTCCAGAAGCAAAATTTCAATTTCTCAACCAACTCATCTTTGATAAAGCCTCCACCACCAACCACTGGGGAGATGAGAACCTATTCAGTAAATGGTGGTGGGGAAACTGGTTGACCGCATGCAGAAGATTGCATTGGGACCCCTAACTATCCCCATACCCAAAAATTAACTCTAAGTGGATCAGAGACCTAAATGTAAAACCTCAAACTATAAGAAGCTTAGAAAATGCAGGATACACTCTTACAGATGTTGGAACTGGCAACCAATTCGTGATCAAAACTCGAAATGCCCAAGCCATAAAAGATAAGATAGACAGGTGGGACCTCATCAAACTGACAAGCTTCTACAAAGCCAAAGAAATCATCAAGAGAGCAGGGAGACAGCCCACAGACTGGGAAAAAAATATTTGCCACCTCCATGTCTGACAAAGGCCTAACATCTAGGATCTACAAGGAACTCAAATGTGCTGAAAAGAAAAAAACAAACAGCCCCATTACAAAGTGGGCAAAAGATATGAATAGACCGTTCTCAAAAGAAGACATAGGAGCAGCCAACAGATACATGAAAAGATGTTCAGCCTCACTAGTCATCAAGGAGATGCAAATTAAAACTACACTGAGATACCACTTAACTCCAGTCAGAATGACCATCATCGATAACTCAAAAAATAACAGATGTTGGAGAGGATGTGGCCAAAAGGGAACACTTCTACACTGTTGATGGGAGTGCAAACTAGTACAGCCTCTGTGGAAAACAGTGTGGCCATTCCTAAAAGTTCTAAAAACTGACCTTTCATACGACCCCGCAATCCCCCTACTGGAAATATACCTGAAAGAACTCAAATCACTATACAAAAGAGATACCTGCACATGTATGTTTATCGCAGCATTGTTCACAATAGCAAGAACATGGAACCAACCGTGTTGCCCATCAAAAGAGGACTGGATTAAAAAAATGTGGTACATATACACAATGGAATATTACACAGTAATAAAGAAGAACAAAATCATGAACTTAGCAGCAACCTGAATGGAATTAGAGTCTATAATACTGAGTGATCTTTCACAGAAGCAAAGAACTGAGTATCACATGTTCTCACTCATAAGTGGACCTTGAACAACTACCATAATACTACAGGAAAAGGATTGACAGTAGCGTGAAACTACGGGGGTGGGTGGAGAGGTGGGATTGACAGTAGTCAAAATCTGCCTGTGGAAAAGGGGACACATCTCATCAACAAAGGTACCTGCACAATGAGTAATTGTATACCTAACCCTGAATTGTACCCACAATTTTAAAATAAAAATAAAAAGAAAGAAAGAATTCAACATGAGGAAAAGAAATTAATCTGTGGATTACAACAATTTGCAGTGTATAGAATGAAAACAAAAAAAGAGGAGAGGGAAAATAAACAACGTGAAATGTAAAAAAAAAAAAAAAGAAAAGAAAGAAAACAGTTTCAATAAATAATTTTAATGTCTAACCATCCTGTAGGTAAGTGGCACCCATTTTATCACTTATGTAATCTATTCAGAGTGATTTATTTTAAGGAATATTTAGTAGGGAGATTTCTTAATATTTGAAATAACTTTAATACACAAAAAAATAGAAAATGAAAAGCATATGTTAAAAGGCAGGGAAAATTTTTGAATACTATTATATCATTGATATTTATCTTATTTAATACAAATGCAGTCTTTCCTTAAAATATGATATTATACTACATAATCTGATTTCTTAGCTATCATACCATGAATATCTTTTAATGCCAATGAATTTACTCCTACATTTTGCTGGTGTTTGCAAAATATTTTATCATTATTTATATATCAGAAATATTGTATCAATCAGCAGTTATTGGGTATTTGCAGTTTTTTTCTCTTTTCACGTTATTAGAAAAATTATGTTGTAAATATTATGCTTGAACACTACCTTAAATTGTTTTCCAAGACAGATTTTTGATCATAGAATTGCTAAGTAAAAATACATGGGGATTTTTTTAAATGTTGAAATAAATTTTTCATGAAAGATTCTACCAATATACACACATTTGCCTAGTTCTCTGTACCTCGGTCAACACTAGGACTGTTTCATAAGGCACAATAAAGTTATTTTTATTCTTGATATCCACTAGACAGTGGCTATGTCAAATAGCAGCGCAATCCAACAACTAAAGCCACAGAACATAAGTAGTTATTAAAATGACCAGCTTATAAACACATTATTTAAAAAGGAAATGTTATACTTACGAACACAGGCACCACCGATTTCGATTTCTTCAGGGCCGCATGGGTATACTTTTGCATCAGAAACAGCTGCCAAAAATAAAGGTTTGTATACTTACTGATCTGAGCATAAAGATATAAATGTGCATATTGCCAAAATGACAATTTCTTGGAGAAATATGCTTTAATATAGGCTAAGACTTTCTTAGTTGTTTTCTTTATTTTTTTTTTCATAATACAATTTTTTTTCTCTTTAGGGATGAGATCAAATGAATATGATACGGGGTCATATTTTAAAATAATCATTGCTTCAATATCTTGGTTTTAAATTTGAATCTGAATTATTAAGTAATGAAACACACTGATGCTATCAATGTGTGCTTGAATTTTTTAGTCTTCTGTTCTTTCTATTTGCTTTTCCCAGTTACTTTTATAGGAATCCAGCCAGCACTCTGGCTCAAAGATTTAATCTCAGGATTAGACAATTAAGAATCCCTAGAAAATGTTAGCAAAGAAAGAATGAATCATTTTGGTTCCAACCTTTTGTTTCCTCCTGATGCAATTGTACGCTAATTACTAAACTACCATAAAGTAGTAGTTGTCAAGAAAGGAAGCAGAGAAGTAGAAAACTAATTTCAAAGCGTATGAGAAGTGTAACACTTGATGTCCAAAGTACAGCAGTGGAATGTGGTTGGGTTGTACGGTTAAGCCTGAGTCAGCACAATGAAAGCTGTACACAGGGAGAGATGCTTGATCCGCATCATAGCACAGTAAAGATTTGTAAGATTCTAACTAGGAGTATAATTCCCTTAATAGATATAAGGCCATTGTACCTGCATAGTATTGTTCATAACAATCCTTTTTTGTTCCTGTAATATCTGTAGTACTTGGAATTACATTACCACTCTTATTCTGATACTGGTGATTTCTTTCTTGTCTTTTCCTTTAATTCATCAGACTGGCTAGAGAATTATTAATTTTAGTAAATTTCTCAAATAATCAATTTTTAATATTAAATTTTCTCTATTGTTTTCATTTAATCTCATTCATGAGTTTCTGTTCTGATTATTTGCTTTCATCTTCTTACTCTGTCTCACTTGTACTTCTTTTTCTAGACACAGCGTACATACTGAGGTCTTTAATTTGTGACCTTTCTTATTTTCCAATATAGACACTTAGTGTGTTTAAATTTTATTTATTTATTTGAGTTGGAGACTCACTCTGTCACCCAGGCTGGAGTACAATGGCATGCTCACAGCCACCACAGCCTCGACCTGCTGGGTTTAGGCAATACTTCCACCTCAGCCCTCCTAGTAGCTGGAACTACAGGTGCACGCCACAACATCCAGCTGATTTTTTCATTTATTGCAGAGATAAGGTCTCATCAAGTTGTCCAGGCTGATCTCGAACCCGTGGTCTCAGGCAATCCTCTCACCTTGGCTCCCAAAGTGCTGGGATTATAGGCATTAGCCACTATACCCAGCTTAGTGTGTTTAAATTTTAATAAACTTCAATTTTTTTTTAATGTAGAACTCAAAATGTGGCTTATTATAGTATATGTTTCATATGCACTTGGGGGAAATGGCTGTGACACTAGAATCTTTTCTTCTTGTCACTGAGGCCAAATTGGTTGATAGAGTGTGCTTGTCTCCTTCATTTTTGCTATTTCTCTGTCTGTGTACTCAATTATTGATATATATGGGTTAATCTCCAATAATAATTGTAGATTTATGTTTCTCCTTACAAACCCATCAGTTTTGCTTCATGTAGTTTGAATCTGTTGTTAGGTACATAATCACTGAAATTGTTATGTTCTCTTGTTAAATGGAATATTTTACATTAGAAAGTGACCTTTGTTTTTCCTGCAATATTCTTTGTTCTTTAGTCTACTTTGTCTAATATTGAGAGACATATATTGTAATTAGTGTTACCTAGGTATATCATCTATTCCTATACTTTTGAATTCATTTTTCTTCATATTTGGAGTGAGATTTTTTAGGCAGCCTATAGTGGGGTCTTGCTTTTTTATCCAATGTGAAAATTTCCGCCTTTAAATACGGGTGTTTAGATCATACATATTTAATGCTATTGTGGATCTTGTAAGGTTTAAATCTACCAGGTTACTGTCTGTTTTCTGTTTATCAGTGGTTTGTTCCATTTTTCATCTTTTGTTGCATTTGAAAAATTGAGTCTATTTTATAACTCCATTTTATATCTTTTGTTGACTGATTAGTTATGTTTTGTTTTATTTGAATAGGTGCTTTGGAGTTCATAGTATATATCTTCAAATTATCATAGTCTACTTTTAACTAATATAATACTACCTCGCATGTAGTATAAGGACCTAAATAGCCTTCTATAGAGAAATACAGAAAGTGTTTTTTTTAAAATGTAAATTTCTATAAATTTTTCTAAGGAAATAACTTTCTAAACATATGATATTTTTGTTAGAATGGCTTTGATTACAAGTATGACCTTGAATTAATGTTTCTTTTCTTATTTGGCTTCTAGAAATCTCTAAGCGTTGATAAATTGGGTGGATACATACACACATATATGAATGATAAGACACAAAACATCTTCATGGGAATAGACTGTTAAAGTGAAATTTTTATTCTCTAATTTTTGTAGTTTTGGTGATTTTTAAATAAAATATTACGGTTCCCAGTCAAACAGGGACTATTGGCTAGAGGCAGCAATATGTCCAAGTAATAAGTGCCGTTTCACAGACTGCCTTTGAAGATAAGGAGGAGCCTGTGAATTCCTCTAAATAGCAGTGATAAGACTTTTTCCAAATAAGCGCCTTAAAAGGAAGTAAGTTTCAGTTAGCACAAGCCCTCTTTCACCTTTTGAACTTTTCCTTTTATCCTCTCTAAATGCAGATAAAAAGGCTAAAACTGGAGCCTCATCCTGTCACCATGAAGGAAAGGATTAGTGAATTGCAAAGGCCTCAGTCTGACATTGTAAAGTGGCCACATCACCACCAGCAGTGAACACCTGCTCCAGATACTTGGTAAGCAAGAGAAAGAAACTCTTAAGCAGATTAAGTGACCGTCATTTTTGTTTGTTGTCCATGCGGTCTAATTCATGCAGTTCTAAATGGTATTTCAAGGCAAGCTTTTATTGACAAATCAGAAAGAATAATTCATGTATATGTCTGCTTAATAATGCATCCATTAAGAGTGAAAAATAACAGTTGTTTCAGATAAATTATCCCTCCCTAAATATTTGTAGGATTTGAATGTGGAGAATAAGAGAGGTAATTTTGAATAATACAGGTTAAGAAATTGAGTGGGTGTTAGTGACATTAAAACAGAAAATATATCTTTGGAGGGAGTGTCATGAAATGCAAATTTTAAATATTATGTTTCTTAATTATCATAATACTATAAGAAAGGGATTGGCAGTAGTGGGAAACGGCCAGGGGAGGAGGGTGGGATTGGTAGTTGAGGGAAACTGCTAGGGGAGAAAGGGGCACACCTCATCAACAAGGGTACCTGCATAATCAACATTTGTATACCTAACCCTGAATTGTACCCCACATCTTTAAAATTTAAAAAAAATTGTTTAAAAAAAGAAAATGACTCTCAGCCTGAAAATTAAATAAATATCGTGTTTCTTAATTGAGGGTAAACATAACATTTCTGTTGAAGTGATTGTGGGTATTTGATGGTATTCCCTGATGTGAAAGTTTCGTTTTCATCTTTAATAGCTGTCAATGTTTCTTCAACTAACATAGATATAGCATTGGTTTTTCCATGAAACACCTAGAGAATTTTCCACAAACATTTGATAATCGTATAGGAAGGTTTACAAAAATTAACTATTTTTTTTTATGACAAGAGTACTCAATGAGGGAAAGTTTTTCAAAATCTCTCATCTTGGCCGCCCAGGGAGGCTGATGCATCTCTCTGGATTTTCTCTTTCCCGTGGCTGGCACCAGCTGTACTCAATGGAGCAGCTGCTGTCCTTCCTTGGTAAACAGACGGCTCTCAACCAGGTTTAGCTGCACAGCAGGGAGGGAGTGGGAAAGTTTGCAGCTCACTCACTCAGGATAAACCTCCACAGAGTTCTGGATGCGTAGAGTACAAAGTGCGGAGTTTCCTAAGGGCCTTCCTGCCCTTCCAGACCCACGTCTGTCAATGTCCTCCTCACTCTCTGAGTCTAACATTCCATACGGCTTCTGTTCTTGTGAGCACACCATGTTCTCATTGCTCCAGAGCCCTGTCACCTGCTGAGGTTGTTTAGGAGGCTTTTCCCCTCACTCTATCTGACCTCAGGCTGGCAGCATCAATGCACCATTGTCAGAGGTGCCTTTTTCTGGTGATAGCTCACTAATGGTGACATCCTCTCCTCTCCTCCGGTATTCTCTTCAACAGCAATTTTTAATCTTTCCATTCATAACATTAACTGTGATTTGTAATTGCATAAATGTTCTGTGTCGAGGGAAGGGACTACACTTTGTTTGCTCACCCCTCTATACTAAGGACCTGCTGTGTTGGTTAGAAGATAAATATGACTCCAGCAGTATATAAATACGAAATAACGGATACTTTATTATTACATGTGTGGGATGTTGCCAATAAGTACTCTCTCAAAATAACACAATTTATACATTTATTGTTTTCATCTTATTAGTAAACAACTTTATTTTTCTTTTTTAAAGCTAGAATTGCCAGCCTTGGCAGCCATTGCACTCCAGCCTAGGCGACAGGGTGATACCTTGACTCAAAACATATTTTTTAAAGAGATAAAAATAAAGATAGAACTATTGCCTTGCAATCAGTAAAGTAAATCTAAACAAATCTGCTTTCCATAAATGTAGCATGTATTCCAAAAACACTAAAATAATAAAATATGTTGAAAACATTATTTTCCTTAGTCTCTATTACTATGTAGACAGTAATATCTTATTTGCTTAGAGATTATGGTCAATGATGATATACATATATCAACCTTAGAAATCATTTGGAAATACTATGGTAGCAATAACAGAATGTGAAATTGGGATGTGTGTCATTGTTTTTAAGAAAGAAATAATGCATTACAAACTCCCCAAAACATTAAAATTATTATGTTGAATTTTTAACTAAAAGAAGTAATTAACCATGGAAGAAAACCTATCGTTATTACTTTGCTGGCCTTAAGAGACAGATTTTTGAGATGTAAAAATGCTAGAAACTTAAAATAATTAATTTTTATAACACTACTGGTTCAAATTGTATAGCTATGTTGAGCAAAATGATTTTTGAGTTTAAACATTTACAATATATGTATATATTTGGTTATTAAAACCCAAAACATGTTGTGTTTTAACTATTTACACTACCCAACTAAACTGTTTTCCTTGTTTTGTTGTATCTGTGTTATGTTGGGTTTGAGAGTAGAGGGAGTCTAACCTCAGGATGAAAATGTCAGTAAGCGATACTCAAATAACTGTTACTCTTGACTGAATCAAGTGTTCACCCACTTTGCTAACTCTGTTTGCAACAGTATCTCCCAGCACTTTCAGTCTCCTACACATGGTTGAGCCCAGATAACACACTGCAGGTTGTGTCTCTCCCATAACTGGTCATACATGAGTTCACACACCCTTCTCCCAAAACTGTAGGATAAATCCCCCCATGTATTAGCATCACCATTGTCTAAACAGGCCCAAGCAAAAATTGCCATTGTATAGTTTCTTCCTGTTTTGAGCTTTTCACATCTGAGGAACTAGGGCACTAGAGCTATTAGACACTGCTATAGAATATGCATTTGTTGAATCCTGTTTTGCTCAGGACACCAGGTCGTGAGAATCTCCTGTCAAGTACACATTCTTTTCAAGGAACTCATAGTCACAGTTGAATACAGAGAAAATTTCATTAAGCTCCATTGCCTGTGGTGAGCTCAGCGATGGTGTGTTCTGGGAGCCTGATCAATACTGTGGTCAATGTCATTGACCAATACCGTGGTCAATGTAGGGCACATGTGTCTGAGGTGTATTCTGTGTCTACGTATGTCATGTCCTCTCTTAGATAATAGTCCAAAGCAGAACTCTTGATTTCTCTCTCCCTTCAACTTGATGTGTTTATACCGCTAGTCTTTCCCTTCTTGGTTACTCAAGCAAAAAACACCTAGATATTTGTGCCAAATTCACCTCTGTCCCATAACCAGAGTTTGAGCTACATCTCCAAAGACCAAGCCATTTCCAGCTCCACCTTCTTGAAGCCACCATCATCTCTTTATTGAATCAATGCAATAACTCCTGGAATTACTGCAGGAATGACAGTTAAATATAATCCTCGGATCATATGGTTCATCTGCTTAACACATCTCATAAGCCTTTTATGCTGCAGTTTAATGAAATCTAATTCTCACCATGAACTTCAGACCCTACAGATGCTGTCCCCTACTTACTCTCTGACCTCATCTCCTAAGATTTATCCACTTACTCTTTTCCTGTCACCATGTTGGTCCTTCAGTTCTTTGAACTGCCATCTTCATACCTACCTAAGGACATTTGCACTTGTTATTATTTCTACTTGGAATGCTTTCCCCCCCATATCTTTTCATGATTGCCTCATTCCCCTCTTTCAGTGTTCAGCTCAAATCCATCAGTTACTCAAAAGGGACTTCCTCGGGCACCCTCGGTAGGATGGCATCCCTGTGCCAGTTCATTTTTTGTGTTGACCAATTTTCATTCATTTATAACAGCAATTTCCAAAATAATTGTATTTTTGGTTTTATGATAAACATTTGAGTTTAAAACAATTTAGACTTGCATAAAACTTGCAAAAATAATAGAGAACGTTACCTTGTGTCCCTTATCCATCATCTGCAAATGTTGATGTATTACAAAACCGTGATACACTTGTCACAACTAAAACACTGATCTCAGGACTGTACTCTTAAATAAACTAAAGACTCAATTCTGATTTTACCAGTGTTCCTTGATGTCCTTCTCTGTCCCAATATCCAATCTAGGATATCACATCGCATTATTCCCATCAATCACATTGCGTGGTTTCCTTCAGTCTACGACAGTTTCTCATGCTTCTGATTTTCCATAAATTTTGAGATTTTTGAAGAGTACTGTTAGGCATTTTGTAGAACGTTCTTTAATTCAGGTTTATATGACCTTTCTCATGATTAGACTAAGATTATGGCTTTTGGGGAAGAATACCACAAAGAGAAGTGCCTTCTTGATGCATACTATCAGGAAATATGTGATGCCCCATGCATTATTGATAGTAAAATGAACTTTGGTCATTTGATTAATATAATATCTGCTGGTGTTCTCCACCGTGAAGGCACTAGTTTTTGTTTTTTGTTTTTTTCCTTTCCATACCCCATTATTTGTAAGCAAGTCATTAAGTGCAGACCACAGTTATAATGAAGGGAATTAAACTGTATCTTCTAGCTGGAATACTGACTGCGAATATTATTTGTAACCCTTTAAGGGAGCCTTATCTCCTTGTATCTAATTATTAAAGTATTTAATCATGTATTAATAAAGTAGGGACTCAATATTTATTTTATTCCTTGAGTTATGGTCACTTTATTTTTATGTACTATCTGAGGCATTCCACTGTACTGTAAGTTTCATGCAAAATACATATTTTCATAATAACTTTTACTCTCCATTCTTCTTTTCTTAATTAAAGGGGGGAATGAAGGCAAGGAAACCAAAGAATTTCTTTTAGCACAATCATTATGTTTGGGAAAATGGTGAGACGTCTGCTTTGATACTTTCCCATCAATAAATATTTTTTTGAGGACTTTAAAGATCTCAGCAAAGAATCCTAAATAAATCTGGCCAATTTAAACCAGAAGTTTAACTTCAATCTAGCAATAATGGTAGACCAAGTCTCTGAGATTTGCATGAGCTCAACACAACCTATCCGGAGGATGGCACAAACACATCAACAAAGTTCCATCATTAGCAGTTCATGTGTATTGCTAATGTTTTCTTACCTTCTGCGCAATAGCCCATACATCCCTGAGTAGGTCGTAGTAAGTACACCAAAAATGTCCCACAATTCCTTACAGACACTGGAATTTGAAAGAGACAGCAGTCTTTCATAGTGCTAAACAGAAACTGCCATGTGGCACAAGCTGTCAGTTGCTTGATCTCCCCAGGAGATGGCAGTGTTTCTGAATCTCCCAGAGACAGCCAGATGGGGGCCTGAGTTCCACAGTGGTTCATCTTTTGCATCAGTGAAAACAAAAGTTGAAAATTCAATTTACTTTCATACATGGGTAGATATGCCAACTTTGAATTTTTTCCAAACAACTTTTACAATATTAAAATTCCAATCTAAAAAAATCTAATAACGTGTACCTGTATTGTACAATAAAAGCAATTTTAAGGAATACTAAATGTATGAGTACAAACCTCATAATTAATAGAACCTTATTCAATGTAAATACCTTTAATATATTTGTCACATTTGTACTGTAAACAAGAGAAATTCCATCTCAGATAACTTAATAAAATACTGGATACATTCAAAGACAAAATAAATCAACAGATGTCATTGTAACATATAGCCCAAGACAAATTGACCTTGAAAAGTTCTTGAAAAACTGTTTTATTTATTTTTTGAGTTGGAGTCTCACTCTGTCACCCAGACTGGAGTGCACTGGCACACTCCTGGTCACCATAGCCTCAACCTGTTGAACTCCAGCAATTCTTCCGCCTCAGCCTTCCAAGTAGCCGGAACTACAGGTGCACACTACCATGCCTGGCTAATTTTTGATTTATTGCAGAGATGAGGTCTCGCCAAGTTGCCCAGGTGGGTCTTGAACCCGAAGGCTCAGGCAATTCTCTCACCTCAGCCTCCCAAAGTGCTGGGATTACAGGCTGAACCACTGAGCCCAGCTGAAAAACTGTTTTAAAAAATTATATATAAGAAGTTCATGCATAGTTCAGGAAGCAAGAAAAAATAGGAAAAAGAAAGAAGTTGTCAAAAATCTGGTAACTGAGCAACTGCTTAGTAATTTGGAAAAAATACAGCCTCACTTGAAGCAATTACCAAAGTCATTTCCAGATGAAAAATAAAATTAAATAGAAAACTAATCCAGGAATAATAAGAAGAAACTGTATATGGTTTTGGAAGAACTGAGGCACTTACTAAATGTATGATCTTAGGCAAGGCACTTAACATCCTTCTCTTTTGTGTTCAGTGAAAATTAATACCCACCTCAGAGTGCTATGGTGAGGTACAAATGAAACAATGTATATAATGTGATTTTTACATCGCTATGGTTTAATAATTGTTATCCAGATTATAATTCTTAATATTATCATTTCCATGCTAAAATCAAAAGAGAAATTTCAAAGGAAAGATTGATAGATATACTTGTTTAGTAATTTTGAAAATATAAAATAAGCAAATAAGGAAACAACTACTTGTAAATAGTATTATATTAGGATGTTAAATTATTTATTATTATACAATTATATTTATTGGACTAGGTAACATGGAAATACTCTTTCATATTAACTCAATTTGATACAAAATTAATATTTCAGCATGAGAAATACGTTGGTTGTAAGAAGATTCAAGCCTCATATGAAAAAATGCATACTGAAAAGCACATGTAGTTGAAATACCTCAACGCATTTGGTCGGCATCTCAGCAGGTCTGTCAAAGATGAGAAATCGATACCATCCAGGAGAGAGGGAATGGTCACATATCAGGTCTTGAACAGCTGACTGCTGAAGGTGCCATGAGTCAAAATGGACACTTCTGTAAGGACTTCGAAGAAGCTGGTGTCCCTCAGGAGAGCACTCTTGAGCTAGAATGGAAAGACAGGTGTTTGGGGTAATGTTTTTCAATCATTGACATAGTTCAGTCCTCAATTAAAATTGTATTCCATAACAAAAATTAAGCTAGTAAATCTACTATTGCACACAAAGATCCTCTGAAATATCAGAGCAGAGCTGCAGGGCCCCACCTGCTCACCTGCCAACCCTGATGAAAGACAAGGAGTCTGGGGAGGAGCACCCCTGTAGCCTGTCCCAGATTGAGGAGAAAGATTTTGAAATAAAGAAAAGGGTCATCCTGTTTCTGCCAGTCTGTACTGGGGCAGCAGATTCAGATGATCTCCCCCTAGAGCACCACTCTTCCTGCTACTACTGCCTTCTCCACAGGTAGGCCAGAGAATGAAGGACAGGCAACAGTAGCAAATTTACCTGATTAAAAACCAATACAACCAAAAAGAAAAAAAAAGAAAATTCTGCCCTCGCAGATGAGGCAGAACTTGGAAAAAAATACCAGCAATTCCCAAGTACCACTGTACTCCAACCTGGGTGAAAAAATGAGACTCCAACTCAAAAAAGAAAAGAAAAGAAAAAACCCCACAAAACCTAAAATGCAAACAGCCTCTTAATAATAATATAACAGGAAAAAAACCCCAAATATCAATAATTAACTTAAATATGAATGAGCTGAATGTGCCACATGAAAGGCACAGAATGGCAAATTGGATAAAGAAGAATACTTTATCCTTCTACTGCCTTCAGGAAACCCATCTAACTGCAAATGATATCCACAGGTTCAAGGTAAAGGGCTGGAGAAAGATCTTCCAGGCAAACAGAAAACAAAAAAGAGCAGTAGTAGCTATTCTTATATCAGACAAAACAGACTTAATTTATTTTTTTACAGTAGTTTTATTCATAAGTATCAAAAGCTGGAAGCAACCATGATTTACTTCACTACAAGAATGGATAAACAAACTGAAATTTCCATACAATGGAATATAATATAGACTTTAAACCAATAAAAGTTAAAAAGGACACTGAAGGTCAGAACATAATGATAAAAGGTTCAATCCATAAGAAAGAAACATCCATCCTGAATATATTTGCTTCCAACATAGGAGCACCCAGATTTACAAAACAATTGCTAATTAAAAAGAGGACATAGACAGTCATACAATGTTAGCTGGAGACTTTAAGATCCCACTAACAACTTAGGCCATCGAGGGGGAAAAAAACCTAACAAGGAAATCAGGAACCTTAACTCAACACTTAACCAACTGGACTTAATACATCTACAGAATACTTCACTCAACAACCACAGAATATACATTCCTCTCATCAACATATGGAACTTACTCCAAGGTCAACCATATACTCATACATAAACCAAGCGTGAACAAATTTCAAAAGATTGAAATCATACTAAGCTTCTTCTCAGATCACAGTATAATAAAAATAAATACTGTCACCAATAGGAACCTCCTAAAACACACAACTGATGTTGGTGCAAATGTAATTGCAGTTTTTGCATTGTTGAAATTTGTCATTTGATATTGGAGTACAGTCTTAATAAATGTAGTTATGTTGGTTATGTTATATATCATTTTAATGTGCATTTCTCACTTTATTTTTTTGCTAGCAACTTATTACATGCTGTTTATTTTATATGTATTTTAGACTATGGAAATTATGTTAGATAAAAAGCAAATCTGAGCAATTTTCTTATTCAAATTCAAAATGGATTGCAAAGCAGCAGAGACAATACACAACATCAGCAACACATTTGGTCAAGGAACTGCTAATGAACGTACAGTGCAGTGGTGTGTCAAGAAGTCTTGCAAAAGAGAGGAAAGCCTTAAAGATAAGGAGCATATTAGCTGGCCATCAGAAGTTGACAATGACCAGCTGAGAGCAATCATCAAAGTTGATCCTCATACACTACACGAGAAGTTGCCAAAGAACCAATGTCAACCATTCTATGGTCATTCAGCATTTGAAGTAAATTGAAAAGGTGAAAAAGTTCAATAAGTGGGTGCCTTATGAGCTGACTGAAAATCAAAGAAAATGTATTTTGAAGTGTTGCTTTCTCTTATTCTACACAACAACAACAAACCATTTCTCAATCAGATTGTGACATGGGATGAAAAGTGGACTCTATACAACAACTGGCAATGGCCACTCAGTAGTTGGACCAAGAAGAAGCTCCAAAGCACTTCCCAAAGCCAAACTTGCTCCCCAAAAGGTCATGGTTACTGTTTGGTGGTCTGTTGTAGGTCTGATCCACTACAGCTTCCTGAATCCTGGCAAAACCATTACATTTGAGAAGTATGCTCAGCAAATTGATGAGATGTGCTGAAATCTGCAATGTCTGCAGCTAGCATTGGTCAACAGGAAGGGCCCGATTCTTCTCCACAACAATGCCTGACTGCACATCGCACAACCAATGCTTCAAAAGTTGAACAAATTGGGCTTCAAAGTTTTGCCCCATCTGCCATATTCACCTGACCTCTCACCAACCAACTACGTCTTCAAACATCTTGACAATGTTTTTCATGGAAAACACTTCCACAACCAGCAGGATGCAGAAAATGCTTTCCAAGAGTTTGTCGAATCCCAAAGCATGAATATTTATGCTTCAGGAATAAATAAACTTATTTTTCATTAGCAAAAAACGTGTTGATTGTAATGGTTTCTTTTTTTTTTTTTGAGTTAGAATCTCGCTCTGTCATCCAGACTGGAATGCAGTGGCTGCTCCCAGCCTCTGCAGCCTCGACCTGCTGGGCTCCAGTGATCCTTCCACCTCAGCCTTCCAAGTAGCTGGAACTACAGGCGTGCGCTACCACACCCAGCTAATTTTTGATTTATTCTAGAGATGAGGTCTCGCCAAGTTGCCCAGGCAGGTCTCAAACCTGTGGGCTCAGGCAATCCACTCACCTCAGCTTCCCAAAGCGCTGGGAATTGCAGGATGAGCCACAGAGCCAGGCCTGTTTGTAATGGTTTCTATTTTGATTAATACAGATGTGTTTGAGCCTAGTTATAATGATTTAAAATTCACAGTCCAAAATCACAATTACTTTTGCACCAACCTAATAGATGAAAATGAAACAACATGTTTCTGAATGACTTGGATTAACACAGAAATCAAGGTAGAAATAAAAAAATTTTTTAGAAACAAATTTTTAAAAAAAGACACAACACACCAAAATCCTTGAGATACCATGAAAGTGGTGCTGAGAAGGAAATTTATAACATTGCACACACATATCAAGAAAATAGAGTGATCTCAAGTAAACGATCTAATATTGCAACTAAAGGGGCTGGAAAGATAAGAGCAATCGATTACTAGAATTAGTAGAAAAATGGAAATTATTAAAATAAAGTCACATTTGAACAAAATAGAGAGCATACAAAAATCATACAAAGGATTAACAAACAAAAAGCTGGTTCTTTGAAGGGATAAATAAGACTGACACAACACTGGCCAGACTTACAAAAAGAGAGAGAGAGAATTCAAATAAACAGAGGTAAAAACTAAAAATACAGTGTTACAACTGACCCTGAAAAAATACAAAAGATTACCAGAGATTACAATGAACACCTGTAAGAAAATAAACTAGAAAATCTATAGGAAATGGAGGAATTCCTGGTAACACCAAACCTTCCAAGTTGAAACGGGAAGAAATTGAAACCCTATACAGATCAATAACAATCCAAGAAATTGACTCAGTAATAAGAAACCTCGCAGCCATAAAAAACTCTAGGCCAGATGGCTTCTCAGCTAAATTCTATAAGACATACAAGGAAGAGCTACCACCAATCCTATCAAAAGTATTCCACAACCACGAAGGAAGGAATTCTCCCAAGCTCATTTTATGAAGCCAATATCATCCTGATACTCAAAAATGGCAAAGACCCAACAAGGAAAGAAAAGTACAGGCCAGTTTCTCTGATAAACATAGATGCAAAAATTCTCAAAAAGATTCTTGTAAATAGCATCCAATATCACATTTCAAAGAAAGTAATCGCAACATAACAAATTAACTTTGTACCTTAAGGCAATGGAAAAATACAAGCATACTAAAATGCAGGAAAACACAAGGAATGAAATTTGAAGATTGGAAAGGAAATTGATGAAACTGAGAATGCAAAAACAATACAGAACATCAATGAAACCAGAAACCCATTCTTTGAAAGGATTAACAAAATTCTCAGGCATCTTACTAGATTTACTGAGAAAAAACGGTGAGAATTTTCAAATTACTAGAATCAGGAATGAAATAGGGAATACCGCTACAGACCTTATTAAGGTTTCCAACCACTGTTGTGTGCCAATAATTACATAACCTAGATGAGATTGACAAATTCTTAAGAAGACACCAACTACAAAACTGATTCAAGAATAAAAAGACAATTCAAATAGATTTTTAACAAGTAAAAATATCAAGTCAGTAATCAAAAAACTACCCACAAGAAAAGCCAGAACTGGTTCGTGACCCGCCTGGGCAACTTGGCAAGACCTCATCTCTACAATAAATCAAAAATTAGCCAGGCATGGTAGCGCGCACCTGTAGTTCCAGCTGCTTGGAAGGCTGAGGCGGAAGGATCGCCGGAGCCTAGCAGGTCGAGGCTGCGGTGGCCAGGAGCGGCCACTGCACTCCAGTCTGGGTGACAGAGTGAGACTCCAACTCAAAAAAGAAAAGAAAAGAAAAGCCAGATCCATATGGCATCAATGCTGAAGTCTAGCAAAAATTTAGAAAACTCAAATCATCCTACAAAAAAAGATACACATGCACACTCATGTTTATTGCAGCACTATTCACAGTAGTAAAAACATGGAACCAACTGTTCTGCCCATCAAAAGTGGGCTGGATAAAACATGTGGTACATATACACAATGAAATATTACGCAGCCATAATGAAGGACAAAACTACGGACTTTGCAGCGACTTGATGAATTTGGAGTCTGTCATGCTCAGTGATCTATCACAGAAACAAAGAACTGAGTATCACATGTTCTCACTCATAAGTG